GACACCGCGCCCTTTGACATGATACCAAACCCCCACCCAGCGATGCAGGCCAAAACGACGTGTAGGCAACTAGTATAAAGTAGTGGAAGCCGAGAGCTCATTCTTCATCTCTACAACAATCCGTAGTGGAGCTCTCATCGCAATTTTGCGCTAACCGTTAGCTCACGTTTACGGCAGCGCACGCGTTTCTTTTCCCCTTTTGTAGCACTTTCTCTGTAATCCGCGGGGCTACCTCCTTTTCTCCTCTCTCAGTAGTGCAACACTCTCTCAATCTTAATCTTCATCACTATCCACTATTTCTTTTCTACTTATATCTCAGTATTGATTTCTCTTGCACCATGCCTGAAGCACGTCGAAGACAAAAGGAAGAGGTAGATGTGGAAGAGGAGGTAAGTGAAGAGCCACCACTCACACGACATTAGTACAACTCAAAGCAGGAGGAGGAAGAGGTGCGAGGTTGCGGCGTTCACACAAGACCATATCCACGCCAATCTTTAGTTGGCTGGTATGAAAGAACTCCATCCCCAACGAGGATAGAGTATTATCAAAAAAATTTGAGGCGCGCTACGACACGCCCAACACTTTTTCTCCTCCATACACTCCCAAAGCCCCCAATACTCCTGTGATAAATAGGGCATTAGTGCCAACATGATCTCCCTTTATCCCTTACACTTTTCCTTCTTAATCTCACCTTAATATTTGCACGCTCTTTTGTATTTTCTTTCTTCTTGCTTTACTATGGTTCGAATTCATGGCCATCTTTTATCTCTTGTGTAAGCACGACATCTTTCCTTGTGCACTCTGATTTTTTTCTCCTTGATTTTTTCATCCACATCATGCTTCACAACACCCCTGGCCTAAGTGTTTGAATACCTCGAGGCCGGCGATGCAGGTGCTTCGTGAACCAGGCCTCTCTGTCGACCACCAAATAAAATTTTAAAAGGATTACATCTCAATTTCTCATCCGCACTTGGCTTTGACCTCTTGTCGTTCTGAAATTTGATTTCTCTCTAGACTTTTTCTGGTGAAGAAGTTACCTTATTTCTCATCTTGACAGTAATGCCACAAATATTGTCTATCTGACATTAGTGTTATGGACATTTTGTTGTCAGCAGTGTCGATGATAAGGTATACCAAACCCTTTTTCTTGTGTTTTGGCCTGAGGGATACGTCTTTTCAACTTCTCTTCAGTTCTCCAAACAGTTAGTTGATCTTTCTTTCCTCTCTTTGTGATCATTGTAGGAATTAGATCAGAATCTTTGAAGATAAACTTACGAAGTCTTGACCCTGATACCATGTCATGAACTCTCCAACCATCCATCTCGGATGTCTCATAAACTTTGCCTTCTACTTCACGTATAATTTTGTAAGGACCGAGCCATCTGGGCTCCAAACGTTTAGTCCACTGAGTTTCAAAAGAATTGTCAAACAAAAGGACAATATCGCCGATTTTTAGTTTTTCCTTTCTTATGTACCTTTTCTTGTTTCATCTCTTTTGATCACATAATCTACTGGTTGTCATTCTCTTTGCAACATCCATCACTGCCTGATCAACTTCTAATATCTGCCTCATTCTGGTTTGAAGGAGTTATGAGAGAGAATTTTTCGTCACTTTCTTGACTTGACCATGTCTTGACTATGCCCTCAATAGGCAAGGTAGCATACCGACTGTACCACAAAGTAAATGGTGCATAGCCAATAGTCCTCCTCATATTTATGTTATTAGCATAGACTGTCGCTCTTAACATCTTTTGCCAGTTGCTGAGATTTCGTTCACACCATTTTGCTAGTGAATCCTTCAAACTTTTGTGACCTCTCTCGATTGGTGCATTTGCTTGAGGATGATAAGTGGTCACGTATCAAATTCTGACACCCATTCTGAGAGTGGTTCTTCTTACTATCTCATTTATGAATTCAGACCCTCTGTTTGAAATAAACTCTCTGATGAAGGGATATCACTTGTTCGACTGTTTTCCTCTTCAGAGCCTTTGCTTCAACATAACCAGATAAATTATCTCTCATGTTTAGTATATATGTCATCTCACTCTTGCCTAGAGGCATGCTGATTAGATCCCAATGAACTCGACTGTCTGGCTCTACAAGGATAGTGGGAAATAGAGGCTCAATCATTCTTGTTGTAGATCGTTTCTGACATAGTACACATCATTTACATCATTTGTAAATCATGTGTCTCATACCAGACCAAAAGTAAAACTTAGTTGTTTTAGAGTAGGTTGCTTCAACGGCTCTGTCACCACCTGCAACCCCTTCGTGTAGTGCAACAACTATTTCCAACTGTCTCTCTTTCCCACACACTACTCTTAACGGAGACAATCTTCCCTTGCCATCGTGGTCTCTCTTAAGTCTGAACTTCTTTAAGTTCTTGTAGTCAGGGTCACCAGCCCGTACGTACGGAGGTCCTCGGGCAGACCTTCGTACGTGCGAGCGTTCGGGGTCCCGTACGGGGTCCGAACCCGACGGCGTTCGGCCCCCGCCAAAAATGATTTCGGGGCCTAAATTTCTTTTTTTTTTTTCTGCTTTTTTTTTGTGCGTTCTATATGACGTCAGGTACATGCCTATAAATTTTCAAGTCATTTAGCTTAGCCAAATAAGAATTAAAAATCGCCAAAGATGGCGGTGTCAAAACGTGCTCGCCCACGTTGTTTTTCACCTTTTACTTTTTGTTTTCACTTTAGTTCGGAGTCGAAACAATTTTATTATTTTTTGAAACTTTTTTAGTGGGTTTTTCATTATTGAAAATACACATTTGTAAATTTTCAAGGCATTTGGCTATGCCAAAAAAAAATGAAAAATCGCCAAAGACGGCAGTGTCAAAAATGTGCTCGTGCACTCACTAAATTTTTTTTTTTTTTTTTTTTAGTATTTATTTTCCGTATTTTATTTTTATTTTAAATTTGGTAAGGAATTTGGATCTTATGCTCAAGCAAAACTTGTTTTTTTTTTTATAGCATATCTTTTTTTCAGATTTTTTTGATTTTTTTTTTTTTTTTTGGATCCGCATTCGGCCCGAACAGCCGAACGTATCCCCAAGGGGTTCCATACGTTCGGGCGTTCGGGTTCGGGGGTTCGGCCCATCCCGAACGCCGGTTCCCCTGCTTGCAGTGTATTCTTTTATTTTAACTCTTTTTATCTAGGTTGTTGGATCGGACGTCCAGGACCCCTCTGACCGTCCGGGATGTCCGACCGAACGTCTGGTCGGACGTCGGACCGGACAGGGTATGTCCGACCTAGTGCAAATATATATACATATATATATATATATATATCGTCACAAACAGAATATATATATATATATATATCGTCACAAACAGAATATATATATATAAACTCCGACGAAACAGTTTGTCACAGCCCCTCGTTTGTTGTCCTCTTCTCCCTCTCTGCCTACGGTTTACCGGACAGTTCTATTTGACGATATATATATATATATATATATATATATATATATATATATCG